AAGGAGTTGATGTGCAAACACTTGAGGAATGGGGAGCTGAAGGAGTTGAGATTCGAGTTCAACTCTTGATTGACGCAGGGTCTAACCTCTTCCTGGTTTGAAACATGTTGCAGCAAAGGGGGGTTTGTTTGAACAGAATATTCAATTAGTCATCATTCGAAACTGATTCCAATTAGACACTTTCATATCGTATAGGGGAGAATAGAGAAACTGCAAAAAATTGTGTTTTGTTCTGTGCTATACTGTGCCACGGATAGTTTCGAAGTCTACTTATTTGGCATATAGTAATGCCGCAGATAGTGGTTGCAGTTACACGTTTGCCTGATTGACGTATCTCCTGTTGCAGAGTGTAGATTGGTAGAGACCAAACTGGCCTTGAGGGTCTCATCTACCCCGTGACCCACTGGAATTCGGAGCTAACGGGCGAAGTGTTGACGTTTTCGCTTGACGTGTGCGACCCAGTTTCAAGTCCCGTTGGGAGGTACTGTTTGGATTGCATCTCAAGGTGTTAACGTCAACTGTCACGTCAGGTGACTTAAGGTGACTATTCATTATTCACGATCTACTGCTGGTTGTTAAAGGTGTGTGTTTGGTGTGTAACTTCTCTTATATTATAATTACAATTAGTCTCGAAAAATTTACTTATGAAATTAAAAATAAGTAATGTAGTCGATTGCTATAGCAAATATACCTTTGCTTTATCGAAAATTCCACCACACAATGTGATATGGGAAAATGTCCAGACTTCCTTGAAATTTACATCTGGTCTGTGACCCAAGGGCACTCGTGGCAACATATTAAGATTAATGCTGCATTCTCATGGTTCGAGTCCCGTTGGGGGTGCGGATGAGACCTGAGTGGTGTCGAGCCTACAGTCCACTTCTGCCTGGTTAAGAATTCCTTTTTGAAGCAAGGCTATTTGAAATTCACTGAAAAATGAAGGCCTACTCGCGTGATTGTGGGAAGTTCAGCTACTAGCCCTTTATCACTTTGACCGAAATAGGGTGAATACAAAGTATCATGGACAGAATCAGTGCATACTTATTCATACAAATTTGCCTCATATTGGCAAGCAATACAGCGTTCTCTCATGAATCCATAATTGAGAGACTAGCCGGACACTTTGTATCTTAAACGATATTCCGTCATTTTTACTACACCTCTACCCTGACCAGAAAAATGAAAGCTTTCTTACTCATCGCTTAAAATGAGAAGATGAATGAAGTAGAAAATTTGTCAAAAAGGTTTTTTATTTTGTAAGTGGGTTTTTCGAGAATAATTGTAGAAAGCTGCATTCACTCTCTTTCATTTAAGGCGATAAAAGACTAGTAGTTGATGGCATGAGTAGACGAAGTCGAAAATACAGTCAATTCCTGCCTGGATGAGAATACCTTTTGGAAAGCAGGCTATGTGAAATTAAATGGAAACGTAAAGTCATCCCAAATGATTCTATATAAATTCAACCACCAGTCATTCATAATCTTAGATGAAATAGAGTGAATAGATCTCTTCGATGAGTAGTAATCTGGTGATGCGCATTTATGATGCATTCCGAATGTATATGGGAAAGTAGTGTATACATTTATTTGAATCGTGTTCACCAACAATCGCAGAATAAACAAGTATTTAAGGTAAAAGGATTTCTTAACTCTATCTATTCTCTCTTGGCTCTATTACTTACTCACATCATCGTGCCCTTTTTTTCTACACTCGTCTTCTCTAGTTGCCAGGCCGATGGGGGCTAGGATGCTTCGAGCACTCGTGGGATTCGCCGGCTGATTCCGGCAAGTAGAGACGGTCCCTACAGACCGTTGCAAAAGCTCTTCTTCCCTTTACCAGCATGCCGGTCCGCCATGATCTCGACGACCTGTCCACCTCCTGTTTGCCCTGCTCTTCGATTATCTCATTCTCCATCAACCATCACCATGGCGGCATTGCTATTTCACCCGATACTCGTCTCCTCCGTCGAGTACTCCGCGTCCACCTCCACCATCTATTCTGGCTGTCGATTTTGCTGCTGCTACTAATAGGACTGTTGCCCACCACCTTGAGAGCCGATTCACCAACCACCCATCTACAGTTGCTACCTTTTTTTCGTTCCAAAGTCAGGCTGGAGGATTCTTCATCCCCAATTGAGGCTGCAACGAAGCTGACTGTCGGACAGGTTGGAGCGGGTCATGACGTCAGACGGACGGTCCAGACGCGGGTCAAGAGGGCGGAGACTAAATCATCTCCGGCCAAAGGCTACCTCGCCGTTGGCCTCGCCTCCCAGAGTTCGGCTTCTGCACCCGCCTACTCTGCGGCGGCAACAACAGCAGCTGTCGTTAAGGTGACTGAAACATCCGTGAAACAGGAGTCCGACAGTGCGCTCGACAGTCTCGAGAGGGCCAGAAACACCGCGGCTACTGGAATGGCTGGAATCGTCGGCCTCAGGAGTAGTGGTGGTGGCAGTGGCAGTATGATCGCCAGCCGCCCTGGGTCTGTGGTGGACAGGTAAGAGGTCTTTGCCCTTTCATTTGCCAACTCCTTTGCCAACTTTAGCGAAATTTTTACTCTGCTCTTTGGCCACTTT